ACTGCTGAAGAGATATTGAAAGCCATTGAGGTGGGGTATCGGATTATCGAAATCAAAGAGATTTGGTCTTATGATACTGTGCAATTTGGTGAAGATGTTTCAGGCCTATTCACCGACATGATGAATAAATTCATCAAGGTGAAGCAGGAATCATCAGATTGGCCTAAGAATTGTGAGACCAAAGAGGAGAGAGATAGGTACATTGACGAATTTTTACAACGGGAGGATGTTTTTCTGGAATTTTCTAAAATTACCGATAATCCCGGGTTGAGAGCACTGGCCAAGCTTATGCTGAATTCCTTCTGGGGTAAGTTTGGTCAGCGTGAAAACCAACCGAAAACTTCGATCATCAATCAGCCCTCGGAATTCTTTTCGATGATGACGGATCCTTCCCTCATTGTCAATACAGTACTCCCGATAAACGAGGATACCCTCATTGTTAATTGGGAGTATAAGGAGGAGAGCTATGACACTCTTTCCACTGTCAATGTCGTTATAGCTGCATATGTGACAGCCTTAGCTCGGTTGAAACTTTACAGCTATTTACAGCAGCTTAGGGAAAGGGTGTTATACTATGACACAGACTCAGTCATCTATGTTTCCAGACCAGGGGAATTTGACATTCCTACTGGTCAATTTATTGGTGATATGACCGATGAAATGGAATGTTACGGCCCTGGTTCCCATATCACAGAGTTTGTATCTGGTGGCCCGAAAAATTATGCCTATAAGCTATGGTCAACCAAGGAACAAGAGTTTAAAGTTGTATGCAAAGTTAAAGGCCTCTCACTTAACTATGCTGCTTCACAGCTGGTTAACTCTGATTCTATTAAAGATATGATTTTGAACCCTGGTCCCCCTGTCGAAATTTTGAGCAAACAGTTCCGACGAACCAAGGAACATGAGGTCATAACAGTCGATGTAACCAAAAAGTATAAGCCTGTAAGTTTGAAGCGGAAATTTCTCGAAGATCACACCTCTGTACCTTATGGTTTCAAAAAATTCAAATCATAAATATTTTTCGAAATCACAGTATCGTATTACCATTTTCTATCATTCGGAGGTGTACAAATTACGCTTGAAGCTTTCTAATCAATGTTCTGTACAAAATTCGATAAAATAAATTTCCCCGCTAATCACGAAACTTGAGAGAGAGAGTAAAAGCAATCGTTATCACGGCCGGACTGCACAGCGAATTCTGAAAAATCTTCCGTTTTCACGGCTACTCTAGAGATTTGAGGTAAATAGTTCATTAAGGAAGAAAAAGACCCCAATCATCTGGCAAACTAAAGAAGTGTTTCTTTTGAATGAGAAATCGATCTTCGTGCAGCTAGAAAATGGAACAAACAAAATTGCGAGATATTTTATGTCAATAGTCACATGTTTCAAAAAGACGCATTTTCCTGGCGAATTAATGAAGTGTTTCTTCTAAATAAGAAATTGATCTTCGTACAGCTAGAAATAGAACAAACAAAAACTGCTCTGATTTCGTGTCAACAGTCACCTGTTCTATTATAATGAATTTTTCACCCGAAATCTTTAGAGTGTGTGGTTTTTCTATACCTCGAGGGTGGTGGGGAAACAAGCCTATTATACCATGTTTTAGGTCCCATACCAGCTGTTGATGTCAGTGTGACAGCTCTTCAGTATTTCACCAGCTTTCCAACAGTACAGACGTAATCAGCAATGCCAAACTGTGACTGGGGTAGACCATGCAATTGCTGTGACTGCAAACCTAGTTTCTGCTCTTTCTGCCGTAAAGAGAGGGTTCATCATGTAATCGAAGACTACAGCACCGACAGAAACGGGATAGGCGCCTACAGTTTCACGGCATGGTGTGAAGATTGTTTCAAGAAAAGAATGAAATAGATTGTTTCGTGATTGTCTCATCAGTAAATAAAATGATATGGTTTGTTATTGTCTCATGTCTCAATAAAATGTTTGATAAATATTTACATATTTAACTGACCCCATTACGCCCTGCATATTCTTTATTAAACAGACAACCGAAGTATCCTGTTTACCTTGTAATTTGTAATTGAAAAACTTTCTCTCCTATTTCAAAACAGAAAACTAAAACATCCTGTATACTTTATCATTTTTTAAAAAGGCCCTGTATATTTTTCCAGAACCAGAACCCGAACATCCTGTATACAATATAATTCGAAATTGAAGAACTTTTCAAACAAAGGCCAAAACATACAAGAAGGTTCAACTCTGTTTATTCTGAAAACGAGTAACATTTTACGATACTGGAAAGGCCTGTTATCCTAATGATTTATGAAGCACTCTGTATCTACGACATAGACAACTATGAATGAAAATAAAAATCCTACTTCTTTTGTTAGCTGTAAATCCAGAATGAAACTGAAAATCCTAATGATTTATGAACTACCCTGTATTTAAATAACATTCAGTTTCTATTGTTAACATAAATCTAGAAGGATATAGAACTGAAAATCTCAAAGTTTCACGAAACACTCTATAACTACGACAGATACAGCTGTGAATGAAAATAAAATTACTTACTACTTCTTTTGTTAGCTGAAAATATAGAATAGAACTGAAAATCCCGATATTTCACGAAACACCCTGTATTAAAATTAAATTAAATTTCTGCTGTTAGCGGAACTCTAGCAGAATATAAAACTAGAAATCCTGATGTTGCACGATACACCCTGTATTTTAATGAAATTAAATTCCTGTTGTTAGCGGAACTCTCTAGAAGATATAAAACCTAATGACTTACGAAACACCTTGTACATCAACTTCAACTACATCAATTTTTGCTTCTTGTTATTGCTGATGAGCAGAGCCTCTGTAGTTGTTTTTTGTTATCCAAAATTCATGCGTTTACAAAATTCCTGTAAATGTTCTGTAATGAACCTAACAATAATTACAAAGAACTAAAATGAAATCCTAATTCATCGCTAAGACACAATACTTTGATAACTATAGTTTTCGTATCTTTTCACATATGATACCTACCTATCCAAACTGACATTCTCGAAAAACTTTAGCCCGAAGGTCCTGTCGCGAAAACCGAGGAATTTTACGTAATTTGAAAGAAAAACAGAAAAATAAGCCACTTACCAATTTCGTTGAACAACTGCTATATCCAGAAATAAACGAGTACCTATATGCAGTAATGACCGCTCCATTCTAATTTTCCACAAAAATACACTTTCACCTCACAGATGGTTTTTTTTTGGCAATGAAAAAACACTGAATCTTATATGTCCAACACGAATGAAGATTGAAATAAGACTCCGATTTGAGAGAAATTTTGTTATTCGAACTTTAATCAGACACAGGAAATAGCGCGAGTTGTAACAGAAAATCTCCGCGATGAGATTGGTTGTTATACAGGGTATAATCTGCCATCAATACAGAGATGTGTAGGTAAAATCTTGTAGTGATGACACAACCGACACTACCTTATACCTAATTTGTGACATAACCTCGAGAAGCATTGTATCGTTTGTCTAGTAATGGTATGTTCGTGGTATTTCGCTATCATCGAAGGCTTCAACTAGGTTTCATCAGTATTTCACTAATATTGATCGGAATAATCAGTTAGCGCGTCATATCTGTCATATGTTACGTATATGCTTGCAAGGTCCGCCTATGGCCAGTTCTAACAGTGAGCCCCCTTATATATATATATATATATATAAAACTAGGGAATATTGGGGACTGCAGCAAGTCAAAAAGAGTACTCTTTAAAGTTGGACCAACTTTAAAGAGTACTCTTTTTGACTTGCTGCAGTCCCCAATATTCCCTAGTTTTATTCCTAACTAGTCAGCAACGACTACCCTTCTACAAATATATATATATATATATAAACTTTTTTACAAGCACACTGTATATTGAACGGGTGCATCAGCTAGCACGTCAGTTGTCTGATATGATTGCTGATGTCATTCTTTCGTGCAAAATATCACTTATACACATCTAGCTCTACTATGTTCCCCATGCCACACAAAACATTTTCAGCTGGCGGTTTGGCAGCATTGTTCAAGGCAGCGACTCTTATCACGCAGAGTCTTGGTATATTGTCGTTATCATGGAAATATTTCATCATAATTTTATTTCGTTGTACTAACGTCTTATCAACCTATATATAGCTTTGCTCGCTGATCCTCGATGATCCCATTTGAATACGGTTTTCATAGTGAAATTTTCGTGGCCTCCTGAATGGCTCAGTGCGTGTATACGCTGCCTCACAATGCAAAGAACCCGAGTTCGATCGCCAGCAGTGGAGGTTTTTTTTAATTTATTCACGATGATGATGTCATGACAATTTGAATTTCGCTCCGCTCGTGGGGCCGCGAGTAGCTAGCTGAGTCAAGCCGGCCTGTGATTGACTAGTCGGGTCACGTGGTTTGGAAAAAGTGGAGGGGTGGGGCTGGTCTGGAGTGACGGGCTTCCTACTACAGTGCTATAACTTCATATCACTGTAGACTTACATAGCAATGTAAGTCAAAATATACAGCGAGTCGAATATTTGCTATTCTATTACATCATCTGTAAACTTGATAGATACATTTTAGCATTCATAGTGTTGCTAACTTTGGGATGCTACAATATGTATGGATTCTACCGTTTCATGATAATAACAGTGTGTTCTGTGTTTCAAGAATGTCATTAACCTTACCTAACCAAGAAACTCTTTGTGAGTTCTTGGAGATACCTATTTCTTACATGGCATGAATTTATTATGAATATGGCAAACAGGTAAGAATTGATTGAAACATTATTTATAGGTAGTCTCACTATGCACAGAAAAATGTTGTAGTTCTTTAAATAAACGATAACGAACTCAAAATACAATAGCAGAGCAATATGAATTATACTTAGAATACATGGAGGGAGATTTTATATTCAGAAGCAGCACCATAAACCCTACCGTCGATCCAAACTACATAGAAAAAAAATGGGAGGAACTAGTGGGTAAATTAAACTCCTTGGGCAAGGGACCTGTTCTTTCCGTTAAGACATGGCAAAAGGTATGTTACTCAATTGCATCAATATCAGTAAAGAATATTTGCTAGGTATGTATTTTTTATAGAGATTTAAAGACTGGTAAAACTCTACCCGTGCAAAGTATAGGAAAATATATGAAAACAGACTTATCACAGGTGGTGGTGTTGGAGTCAAAATAGAATTGACGCCTTTAGAAGAAATAGGTCTGTCAGTTTGGGGCAAAGTTGCTGTGACAGGAAGACCACTTGTTATGGTATCAGGAGGATTGGCTGGATCCACAAATGATCATCTTGATGAAATAGAGAATCTGGATGAAACTGAAGAAACTGCTGTCTCCACAAATGAGGGCATTGGAGATATTGAAGAAATAATTATTTTGAATGAAGGTGAGAGTGCAGAAATTTATGAACCTCACAATAGATTCAACTTGAAAACAGATAGAACTATGAGTCCTGAAAGAAATCATGGAGATAGAAATCAAGGTGTGATGAAAAGTTCCATCAGAAAAAAAAAACTTAAGAGGACAAATCGTCTGAACCTGAATGACTCTGCTCAACTGCTGAAAAGTTCATATGATGAGAAAACAAAATCACTCCAGGAAATAAGCAATACCATATTCAAATTTGCCAACACCTATGAAGAAATTGAAAAGGATAGGAATAAAATTAAAGAAAAGAAGTTGGAGTTTAATATTGCCAAATTTAAATTTTTGAATCCAGATTTCGAACTTTGATTTTGTGCATGATTGTGTTCTGAACTACTCAACACTAATTTCGTCACACACCAAAATGTCGCCCCTGTTATAATGTGAATAACTTTTTTCAGTTTAGACCAATTTGAATTTGGTTCACACTGTTCGATAGCCCAGTCCTTCAGCTATAATCTGGTACTTCATTGAAACATAAGGGTATTCACATAAAATCTCTACATGGTGTTTTCCGACACTGTGCAAAATTTCGGAATATTCAAAAGGCTTTCAAATGGCAAAAAATTTTTTTTTCTCAACTTCGACAACAGAGGCATGAAGATGATCTCATCACCTCGAGATATTTCGCGAATCAACTTTCTATCTCTCTCTTTTACAGAGTGATCTCAAAAAATCAACTTTTCGGTTTTGCAGTCATAACTTTTTTCCACGTCAACCGATTTTGGAAATCTTAGGCTCATTTTGAAGATAAAACTTCAGATGAAGAGATCTGAATATCAGAATTGACCCAAGATGGCTATCAAAGATCTAGAGTTTTCTTGAAAGTGACCCAAATCTAGAACGCCCTTCGAATCTTGGTTGGGAGGAGAATTGAATGAAAATCAACTTGTTCTCGGAAAAACAATTCATTCTGGATGCTTCCGTATTTTCCTCGCTCTCAGTAGTCAAGAATTGTGCGTGAGAAAACACAATTGAATCATGTTCTTGCAAAAACATTAGATCATTTCTCCTCTGTAATGCATGGCCCGCCGTATCCAACGTTACAAGAATCACAAGGAGTGACCAAACCCGACCAGCTGAGGCTCTTCATAAATGGTGTACCAACAAGAGCAACGGCTTTTGATTTTTTTAACAGTTGTCACGTACATAACATGCGATTTAAGAATATGGAGAAGTATTCAAGCCAACAACGTTTATTTATTGTAAAAACGCATTTCAAAAATGGTGAAAGTTTCACGAAAACAGTTTGCCAATTACGTAAAGTTTTCAGTCGCAATAATGCGCTGAACGAATCGACAGTAATAACTAAACAATTCGTGTCGGAGATAAGCCCTTTGAATGGATTGGACTGTCGTGTTTAGCAGCCGCGATTTGGAGGGAAGATAACCCTTGTTCCCTCATTTGTGGAATCAGTCCCAACTGGTCGGGCGTTAGATGCGGCATCGAAACTATCAAAATCTGTTTATGATTCGAAAACGACGTCTAACCTGACTTGTCAGTCACTTACTGTGATTCTTGTAACGTTGGTTACGGGCCATGCATTACAGAGGAGAAATGGTCTGATGTTTTTGCAAGAACATGTTTC